GAGACAGGTGCAGCAGGTGCCGTAGGTGCAATAGGAGGCAACAGGCGCCGTAGGTGCAGTAGGAGGCAGGTGCAGCAGGTGCCGTATAGGTGTAGAAGACGCGCCCTCTGAGGGCGTTGTTGGCAACTTTTGACTGTTTTCTTTTTTGCCTTTGTGCTGAAAGAAGAAGCGATCAGCAGCACGAAGACGAAAAATGATATGAAATGCGAAAACAAAAAACAAGAAGCAGTCAGCTCAGCCTTCAGCCTTCAGCCGGTACGGCAGGTGCCGCAGGTGCAGTAGGGAGCAAGTGCCGTAGGTGCAGTAGGAGACAGGCGCAGCAGGTGCCGTAGGTGCAGAAGATGCACCCTATGATGGGGGTTGTTGGCCAATGTTGTCGGTTTTGTGGTTTTGTTGTTGCCTTTGCGCTTGTGCTGAAAGAAGAAGCGACCGGTGGTACAAAGCCGAGAGAAGGGGCGATATGTTAAGTGTGCGGGTAAGTAAGTGGGTAAGCGAAAAAATCAGGAAAGTGAAAGTAAACAAGTAAGTAAGTATGTGAGTGAGTGTGTGAGTCGATAAGTTAGATAAGTAAGGAAATATGCAAGTAAGTAAGGAAAAATATTATGTGAATATATAAGTAAGAAAGAAAGTAAGTAGCTCACTAAGGAAGTAAGAAGTACGCAAGAGAGTAAATAATTAGTAAATAGGCCGTAGGTGCAGTAGGAGGCAGGTGCAGTAGGAGTATTAGGGGGAAGCTTCGAAATCCCAATTTTTGGCAATATTTTAATTGCGTTATATGAAGAAATTAAATTAATTTTGAGATCGGAACAAAAATAGTTTTTATTAGTAAGGGTTTTAATTTAGTATTAGGGGGAACCTTCGAAATCCAATTTTTGGCAATATTTTAATTGCGTTATATCAAGAAGTTTAATTGATTTTGAGATCGGAACAAAAATAGTTTTTATTAGTAAGGGTTTTAATTTAGTATTAGGGGGAAGCTTCGAAATCCTATTTTTGGCAATATTTTAATTGCGTTATATAAAGAAATTTAATTGATTTTAATCCCTTCCTCCAATATAATGCATGAAAAACATGACTTCGATTTGGTTCCCTAATAATAAATACCCCCCTAATACTAAAAACTACTTGCAGTGTTTATTATTAGGGGGGGACGTTTAGTATTAGGGAGAAGGGATTGGTTATATTTAGAGATTTCAGTGATTCTCAGCGTTTTGATTATCTTGATGTTGTTTTGCATAAGCCAGTTGTCTCTGGAAAGACCTCTCCTCCATGTCATGTCAATCATGGGTGACAGGCGCTTCAACAGCTGCAAGAAGGCGGAAATTGGGGTGACAAGACGATCCAAGGGCTGCAGTGTAGCTGTGTATGTTAATAGTGAGCAAATCATGTGTATATATATATATGTATAGATAAGATGAGATAAGACAAGATAACATATGACAAGACAAGACAAGATCAATAGATATAGATATAGATAGATAGATAGAAATATAGATACATAGATCGACCGATAGATAGATAGATAGATAGATTAGATGGATAGATGGATAGATAGGTGGATGTGTAGATAGGAACAGTTAAAAAAGTATAAGAACAGAACAGATAAAACAAGATAAGTTAAGAACAGGTAAGAACAGACAGGAGCAGACAATAACATATCATAACAAATAATTTAAATAAGAACAGATACGCTAAGATAAGATAAGATAAGAACAGGTAAGAACAGATAAACAAAAAAGTCAATAACACATAAAAGCACATCAGAACAGATAAGAACAGGTAAAAACATGTATGTGTATATATATATACATATAATTATATATTTAATTATATATATAACAGATATGAACATATTAGAACAAATTAGAACACATAAGAACAGATAAGGACATAATTGAACGGATAAGATTAGATTGACAAGATAAGAATTGATAAGAACAGATTAGAACTGATAAGAATTGATAGGAAAACATAAGAATAGATAAGACCAGATTAGATATATAGTTAGATAAGAATAGATAAGAATAGATTAGGTTAGACTAGATGAGATTAGACTAGATTGGATTGGGTTAGATTAGATTAGACTAGATTAGATGAGATTAAGCTAAACTAAATTGGATTGGCTCGGACTATCTTAGATTAGATAGATAGATGTATATTCTAACAACTAGACATAGATAGATAGAATCAGATAGAAGTAGATAGATAGAATTAGCTAGACAACCGTAGATAGATAAGAATAGACAGATAGAAGCAGATAGATAGAAGCAGACAGATGCAATTTGATGCACTAATATATTTATATATATATGTATATGTCGAATTAGATAGATAAAATTAGATCGATAGAATTGGCTGATGGAAGTGTATATATACATATATACATATATACATATACATATATATATATATAATTAGATAGATAAAGATCGATCGATCGCTAATTAGATAGATGTTAGATAGACAGACATACAGACAGACAGATAGATAGACAGGCAGACAGGCAGACACACAGATAGATAGATATACAATTACACAATAAAACATGTGTACTGTCTAAGAAATTCACGCGCCGCCTTCCAGCAAGGCAAGTACTAAAGCTGCTGCCAGCTGCGGCCTTTTGCGGTGCCTCAGCGGAATTTTCCAAGACTCGTGGTGCCGCAGTTCGGAATCGCTAAGTGTTCAACCTTTTGGGGTGGAATTCCTATATGGCCATGGATCAATACCTATAAATACCCATGGTTTTAATGATTTTTTAGGGAGATGAACATCCATAACTACCAGCTATTTTGATGTGAACTACAGGGGTACAAGGATTTGACCCAATCCCAGAATCCCGACCGGCGATGCCGTCCTCGGTCAGATGATAGCCTCTGGTGATGTCACAGTTTGCTATTGAAAATGGTGATTTAGTTCGTGGATTTACCCAGCTATAAAATGGTGGATTTTTCCATATGTTAAATTACCAGAGGGTAGTCATGAGCTACGCCAACCATACCATTTCTACATCCATTTCTTATCCAACTGCTGCTTCGTTCATACATGGTATGTCCGGCAGGGCAGTTATTGAAGGGCCACATGGGTTAGTCTGAACAACTATGGGAAAACAACCTTTGCATAGTATAAAAAAACGTGTTCGGACAAACCCATATATCATTTTGTTACATTGTTATATTGTTGCTTAGCCCATTATATGTTCCACGAGTGGGTATACTGGGTCAGCCTTGGTTAGATACGAATTAGTTGTTTTAATTTTTTTGCTATCAATGATAAAATGAGTCCTAACCAGCTAAACAATAGACTTTTTGGGCCGGACTCATTTTTAGCTGGTTTGGATAGGACTGAACATTAGTTAGTCCTAACCAGCTAAGTTTCACCATGCATATGCTTTCCCTATTTGCGCAGGATCAGCGGACGTTCTTCTCTTCAGGATCCAGGGCGCAAAGCCCTGGGTGAGACGGTTGTCCTGTGAAGCATCACCGTCTCACTTTGATGAGTGGGATGAAGTCTGTGTTTGATCATCTGAGGATAGCACAGTTGCGTAGATCCCATTCTATATGTATTCAAACTGATATCTACTATAGTTGTCTTATAGATGTTATATACAGAACATTCCTTGGGTGGGGCTGATTGGCAAGTGAGGTATTGTTGAAAGTTCAATTCGGCCAGGTCAAACCGAAGCTATCACAGCCACAAACGCAGTTCGGTGACCTTGGGCCCCATGAGATTTCATTGATCGGTTTGTAAGGCCCAGCCTTCACATGTTGCATTGGGATTGCTACTTCACTTGATGAGATAACATTTTTCATCATTTTTTTGAGTGTTTGAGGTGAAACAACCCTACTTATGAATACTTATGAATGGAATTATATACGGGATGGAAAAAATAACATTTAAATGGTGATATCATGGGTATGTAACAATCTTATGACGGAGCTGATGTGTTGTTCCTTGATGTTCAACAGTTCAACCATAGATATGGGATGAAAATGGATGACATGGGATTATTTTCCTCAATGAAGAATAATTCTTTCGGGGCGTTGAAACATGTTGGAACCATCAGCCGGAGAATAACTTCATCCTATTGTCGCGCCACAATTCCGGCGGTGTTTGTTTAGCAAATGTCCCAGCGTTGCCTTCACGACACCCGTGATGCCGCTCCAAAAGTCAGCTGCGTGCATTTCAGTTTCCGAATAGTCCAAAAGTAGGGAGACGATGTTGAACAACCGAGTACCCTGTAAGCTAAGATAGTTCTGGACGATCACCATGTTTGATAAGTAAATCATCCATAAATGGTACATTTTCCATTGTTATGTTAGATTTCCACAGGGTATGGGTTCATATTTGTCAATATGAGCTTGGTTCTAAATGATGGATGCCACCACATTCCATCTTTCAGTCGGCCCAGCAATTCCACCAAATGATTGAGACACCTCGAGAATAACATGCCAGTTATACATCCACTTATGCTGACTATCCGTATTTGACTGACATGTTTTAGATTTTTATCAAATTTTGGGGCCATGAGTGCGTTTACATAGTTCAAGAAAATTGTTGATGGACCACCGAACAACTGTCTTTTCTTGCTGTAAGGATACCAGAAAGCGTTTACCGAACTGCATTGAATTGGCCTTTAAACTTCGTTTCCAACGTCACCTTAGCCGCTTAGCCTACAATGTGGGACCCCGCAGTTATAAGCTGGTTGAAGCCCATCAACTATACTTATATATATATATATTCTGGGTAAATTATAACGACCTCACTGCGACCTCACTGTAGTCATAGTTAGTAAGGGAAATGATCCCCAAATGGCCTTAATTCAGGGTAGTGAAATATTACAATTTACCCATATATATAGATATATATATATATATATGAGTATCATAAGCCATAGTGAAATTTGGAGTTATGTAAAGCCCAACTCCGCTATCGTTTGGAGGCCTTGGAGGCCCCACATGGTAGCATTAACTCATAGAATTTGCCATCCACAAACCATGCCTCCCCTCACCGGGCTCAAGAGAGAATCCAGTGGACAGCAAGTCAGTTCTGTGAACTTCAGGCACGGAGGGGCCTGCTCTCGCAGTCGGTCTTTGGTTCCGAACAATTACCAACTTGGGATGATGATAACATGATTAGCAACTACATTTATACAAAATGATTAAAGTATATCAGCACGATTAAACTGATCCCAATGATTAAGATGGTCCCCTCATTTTCTGAACCCCAAGCTATTTACATCCATTTACGATGTGTTTTTGATGTTCTTGTTTTCTATCAACACACGAGCTGCTTGGTGGAAATATGGTCCATAGATGGGTGAGATCACTCATATTTCACTAGGATTTACGGTGATTAAGCGAAGAAGCCAGCAAACACTTAAGGTTTGGGGGCGCCACAGTGCAGAAACCATTATACCGCTGTCTAGTCCTATTATCGCAGTTATCATACCAATAATCCTCTATGGATGGGGTGTGTTTCTCCAGCTTACATCCAACCAATGTTTAGTAAACCCCCTAATTGGTGTATCGTGCAGAATCTAACTTACACTTACTGGTCACACAACCAAGAAACACCCATAAGCCCAACAGTGAGTTTTAGTACACTGAACTAGACTGAACTCTTCACTAAGTTAGCTAACAATAGCCATCAGATCTGGCATCAGCGTCACCGATTTTCCAGACCGTTGCCAGGCATCCCATGGGGTGGCAACCTCGGAATCTGGATGTTCTTTGTGATTATACACATTGGATTTAGTTTTGAGAAAATACAACATCATAAAACACTACAGTACATACAACTATTATTCAATGAAATAGTATTTATGTTAAAAATACACTTAAATCCAGATATATTCTTGGGTTTAATATATTATACATATATAGTTTAACCAAACAATTAGGTCACCAGCGATGAATTCGTTGTGAACAGAATGGTATCGCCCCGTGGCCAGGTATCCAACGACTGGACCCGTTGCATAGGTCACTGGCACCCTGAAAAACCAATCTGGCTGCGACGTTAGACCCCAACTAAGTTGTTGGTTCACCTCCCCTGTTTCTATGTTCTTTTTTATCATATTTTATTTATGTAATATGGGTGTTGGTTTCAGTTGATTCAGTTGGTTTCAGTTGATTCATAACCCTGAAGGTTTTATTCAAACAGTGTCTCCTCTGGATATGGACCAAGGTTGGGACGGTACACTGCAGCGCATGTACTCCTTTGGGGAGGGAGAGCAGCCAGATGCTCATTGGGCTTTGGGGTGACGTTGTGGTGTCAGATCTTGCGGTTTCTACTATTTTGACATTTTTTGACCGACAGACAGGAGTATCTACCCAGTAAAATGTGGGCCAAGACGGCGAAGAATGAAACAGTGCCATGAGTTTTCTCAAAATGGGGCATTTGGTGCTATGGATGATAATATATATATAATCCCATCAAACATTATTCAAGTCCACTGTTTCATGCGGAATATGATGATGAGGCCCCAGTGGATTTGGATAAGAGGATCGGTCATCAGGAAAGATAAGGATACTAACCGACAACACTTTGTGTGTCACTGGTTGATGGGATATCATCATAGTCACTTCCAATTGGTGCAAAATACCACTGTTGTTGTGTAAAATCCTAACCTTTGCTGGTAAGATCCCAACAAAGTTGGTGGATGATATTTCCGGATTCTCCAATCCATTTTAGGTAACAAGTTTATGATAGCCACAGGCGGAAACAATTCGTTTTGCATCTTTATCTACCCAATTTACCCCCAAACGTATCTGGGTGTTGGGAGCAACCCTGTGAAATCGGGATTTCTTCCTGCACCCGCCAAAAAAAGGCTGGTTTCTCAAGTCATTTGGGATATGTTTTTAATTTAATGATGGTTAACCTATCATCCAGTCATGGTCATCACTGGATGATGGGGGTACCCACATGGCTGGATGGATACCTCCCATAATGGGCCTTTGAGGCATGATGGAAACCCATCACACTGGCCTCCTGAGCTTGCAGCGTGGGACGCCGAGAGATTCTCAACGTTTTTGAATCCGGTGTTAACGGCAGTGAAGGCTGATGGAATCTGATGAATATGAAGATATTGGGTATTTATAACATTTTATAACAATTTTTCATGGAGGGTTCAGAGGGAACATGATGGGTTTTAGTATTTTATAGTCAGCTAAATGAATTTGAAGGAGATATTTTAGCCACAAATATGGGGATAATAAGAAACAATACAGTATTGGATGGAACCATCAACAATAGGGATTATAATAGCGGTAATGGTGATGACATGGATGTATAATGATTTGATTGGGTTTTAGCAGGGAAAATGATGGGTTTTATAGTGATCATACCATGTTATACCAGCGTAACAACATGAATTTGATGAGATATTAACGATTTAACAGGGATATAAGCAACACTATGCTGGTGCAATGTGTTGTGAGACAAACCCATATGGCCAACAAGCAATGGGGATTCTTCCCCCGATGACAGGGGTAGTGCCAACAGTGACCTGCATATTGGGGTAGAGTGTTCATAGTTCATAATATACGTATTTCTATAATTGTATATATATATATATATATTATATTATACTATATATGATGTGAATATATATATATATATTACAATTTATATATATATTTATTTATTTATCATGACAAAAAAGGGACCCATAAAACATGAATGCGGAAACTTCACTAGGAAATCGGGATATGAATGGTATCACTGTCGCATTAAGATTGCGTATTTCGAACATCAACAACAATGATGATGTGAACAATGTGAATATAC